AATCACATTCCCGTTGCTTTGAACGAATTGGCAAAGCTAGGATGTTGGGGGAGGCATGATGGGAACATCAACAAAGAGCTGATTGCTTGGTTGGGCCATCCCGTTCTCCCTCAGATAGTGCAAGTCCGTCTCAACGTGTTGGTCGAGAAGCCCAGGGGAACCCAGAAAACCATTCGAAGTGTGGATATGCCGTTCTTACTTCCTCATTTGATGTTCTCGCACTTTTACAATGCTGACAAATCAGAATTCTGCAACAAGTACTTGGGGCTGCCACCCGATGGGAAATCCCATTCTGATAAGCTGGAAGAGTTTTGGCGTTGTGTTATAGAACGGAAGGATCCCAGGATTATGAACCATCCGATGGCTCGGGTGCCAAACTGGCAGAGATGGGCTATCCCTATCTGCTTGCACGGGGATGCAGTCCCTGTCGTGAGGGTTGGGAAACCTGGCAGCAAAAGTTTAGATTGCATCAGTTTCCAGAGCTTGGTGACGCACGGTAAAACGCAGGCTGTGAAGTTACTTGCTTTCTCGATTTTCGAAGCAAACAAGTTCAAGACTTGCGCAGGAATCGTCGGTGCCATGGATACTGTTTGGAAGGTGTTGCTGTGGAGCGTTGGCGCGCTATTCGAAGGTAGATTCCCCGCGACAGACTGGCATAATCGCGAGTACGCGGCTGGTTCCAGCGAGCACTTGTTGGTTGGCCAGCGCTTGTGCTCAGAAGCTGAGCCGTACTTCTGCGTTCTGTGGTCCATCACTGGTGATTTAGACTGGTACACGAAGTGCCTGGGGCTGATCAACTATAACGCAGACGACCCTTGTTGGTATTGCCCTTGTGATAAGCGGAAGCCACGAAATATGTGGCCGACGAATTTCACGAAACGGTCCCAATGGAAGAACATGTTGCGAACGAAGCTTGACTGGATTGCAGACGGGGGCTCCAGACACCCTTTGTTCACCACGTTTGACTACATTTCAATGTTGAACGTGGAAATGGACGAACTCCACGTATTGTATTTGGGAGTTTCGCAATACTTTCTCGGATCGGTGCTTTGGATATTGTGTTTCACCATTTTCTCTGACCGCACCCCAGAGGAAGCCGTCGACGTCGTTTGGCGTGAGATTTTGGACCAATACCAAAAACAGAACACTCCAGTCCAATATACTGCGATGTCGCTCTCGTTTTTTTATTCCTTCTACGACAAGGGACGAAACGTACCCTCGCTTGAAAGGCAGAGGCGCCGAGGTCAAGGGCCTCGTGGAGCCGTTGAAGGAAGTGTGGGCGAAGTTCAAGGAGCCATCTGCCCATGACGGCAGGGTCGCATCAACGTTAGGGAAGCTGGCCGACATGCAATCGATTTTAGACGACTTCAAGTGCGAGATGTTTTTGCCGACTGAAATTTCAGACGCGTTCTTGGCGCGAACTGAAGAATTCTTAGCTGAATACTCATACCTGGGCGTCCAGGCTGACATACGCAATGAAACGTTGTTCTCAGCTGTTCCAAAGTTGCATTATATGTGGCATTTCGCACACAGGTCAAGGTATATCAACCCCAGGCGCGTTGCGACCTTCATCGGGGAAGACTTTGTAAAACTGTGCAAAGGCATTGCTGCCCGATCAACCGCAGGCACACAATTGCATAAAGTTCCTGGTAAGATGATGGACAAGCACCGTTGGGGCGTGTATTTTGAATCTTTCTCTACGTGAGAAGTGGCATGGTAAAACATCATCATCATAGTCATCATCGTCACCATCATCATCATCAGCATCATCATCCAGAGGGCCCCGATCCCTGGGCGTGGCGGCGTCGTGGACCCCAAGCCCTCGGGGCGGCGCGGTGCGTGAAGATAGCCGCGCTGGGTCCCGTGTGGCCGTGCTCCCGTTGGTGCAAGCACTGGTTGGGGGGGGCCGCACCTGGCGGTGTTGAGGTCAACCGCTTTTAGGGCCGTCCCCAGCCTCTTCCTCTCCTCCTCCTCCTCCTCCTCCTCCTCCTCCTCCTCGTCTTCCTCCTCCTCCTCCTCCTCCTCCTCCTCCTCCTCCTCCTCCTCCTTCTCATCCTCCTCCTCCACCTCCTCCTCCGTCTCCTCCTCCTCCGCCTCCTCCTCCTCCTCCTCCTGCTCCTCCTGCTGCTCCTCCTCCTCCTAGACAATGGTAGTTGGCCTTTGGGCCCCCCCCCCTCGTCGCGAGGGATGCCCTTCGGGGGCCCCCTCGCCTACGGGGGCCCGTCGTCGTCGTCGTCGGATGAGGAGGTGGAGGAGGGGGAAGGGGAGGAGGAGGAGGAGGAGGAGGAGGAGGAGGATGGGGGGGGGGAGGAGGAAGAGGAGGAGGGGAGAGGAGGGAGGAGGAGGGGGAGGGGGAGGAGGAGGAGGAGGAGGAAGGAGGAGGAGGAGGAGGAGGAGGAGGAGGAGGAGGAGGAGGAGGAGGAGGCTGGCCGTCGTCGTCGTCGCTTTCGCTCCCCTGCCCGCGCCGCGCGCGGCCGCGCTGCGGCCTGCCTGCCCCCCGCGGCCGCCAACCGCCCGCCCCCGCGCCCGACCGAGCGGGCAGGGAGGGCGGGGGGGAGGACGGGGAGGGGGAGGGGGGGGAGGAGGAGGAGGAGGAGGAGGAGAGGAGGAGGAGGGAGGAGGAGGAGGGAGGAGGAGGAGGAGGAAGAGGAGGAGGAGGAGGAGGAGGGGGAGGAGGAGGAGGAGGAGGAGGAGGAGAGGAGGAGGAGGAGGAGGAGTTCCTCCTCCTTCTCCTATAACTCCCTTCCTGTGGCCATTTTGGGTCTAGCGGGTTAAACTCCCCTTCCGAGTGCGCCCCGCCCTTTCCGCAGGGCACCGATCCGCAAGGTGCCAATGCATGGGGCACCAACCCACAAGGCACCACTCCAACAGGACACCAGCCCATAGGGCACGTACCGCTCCATAGGGCGCCACTCCTTGAGGCACCACCCCAATGGGCACCAGCCCTTAGGGCACCGTGCCATGGGCACAAGCCCCATAGGGCACCAGCACATGGAGCACCCGCCCCGCAGGGCACTACCCAATAGGGCACCGCCCCATGACGCACCACCTCGCGGGGCATCTGCCCATTGGGCATCACCCCGTATGAACGCGTGGATGATCAAGGAGCGATCGACCAATCTATGGGGCAAACTAAGGGCAGACTAAGGGCAGGCTAAGGGGCAAACTAAGTGCAGAAACTAAGTGTGCCATGGGGCGGGGCCCATAAAAAGTTACCGGTCGCCGGACGACAATCTAAGGGCGCGCCCATAACTTTAACTTAGCCTTAGTTTTCTGAGGGCAACGGATGCTCAGGGAGGGGGGATAGTCTCAGCGAGGGGCGCATCGGCCCCACACGGCCCAATCATCGCCGGCAGGTGCCCTGGAGCCCATCCCGCCCGGGTCCGTGAGGTTTCGCTATCGGGGGGCCGTCGCTAGTCCATCGGCGGTGCATCGCCGACTCCAGCTCAGTGCTGATGCCCGTTTGCCTGTCCGCCCCGATCGTTCCCCCCAGGGAAAGGACCCCCGGCGAACAGGAAGAGAGGAGTTACGGGGCAGGACCAGGGGTGTTTGCGCTCTTGCTGGCTGCCTCGCCTCTCCGTTCGGGATCGTTCAGGAGCAGCGCGCAAACACCAAAGACCCCTGAAGAAGAGTGCAGCCAAGACGCAGAAGCAAGCACCACTTCGTTCGGTTTCAAATCATGGGAGCCTCGTGTACCCTTGCAATTCCGTCGCTGCAGTAGCGCCGACTTGCGTCCAGCAGTCGTTGACTCAGCGCCAGGTTGGCGTCGACGTCGCGTCGGTGAGCGTCGACGAGCGTCGAGTAGCCAGAGCCAGCAAGCTGGCACGGGAGGCTCCCTTGGGTTGCCGCAGAAACTTTGGATCTTGGGTCTTGGGTCTTGGGGGTTGCCACGGCGGCGGCCCAGGCAAGCGCGGCGCAACGGTTGCGCCGTGACAGGGAGGAGGGAGGAGGGAGGGAAGAGGAGGGAGGAGGGAGGAGGGAGGAGGGAGGGGGGAGGGGGGAGAGGAGAGGAAGGGGGAGGGGCTCTGGGTCTTGGGGGGCCGCTCTTGGGCTCCGGGCCGGGGAGCCTACAGCTGAGCGCGCGCCTTTTGGGTGGGCTTAAGTCGGGCCTGTCCCTCTACAGGAGGAATCTTCAAAAATTAGTTAACAAAAAGTATTGGGACTGTTTTTTTAGTACTTTGGGGCATCTGTTGCGTATTTGTCGAATATGTCCCATTTTTCGCCCAGAATCCCCCTGGTAGGGGGACGGGCCCGACCTAAAGGTGGGCAGCACAGCCCCTCCCGGCGCCAGGGCGCCCCCCGCCCGGGCACCCTGCGCCGCGCGGGTGGGCACCGCTGCAGCCTTCGCCGCCTCGGCGGCGCGCCGTGCCGAGCAGCTGCAGCAGAGGGTGCCCGGCCATCGGCGGAGGGCAGCGAGCAGGTCCTCGTTGTCCTCCTCGGATGCTCTCGGGTCTCTCGGCCGAGCAGCTGCAAGAGGGTGCCTGGCTATCGGCGGGGGACAGCGAGGAGGTCCTCCTCGCTGTCCTCCTCGGATGCTCTCGGGTCTCTTGATAAGCGTGGGAATGGTACCCCTTCGACGTGGGCCCTCCTCGCCTCGTCGTCGCGCCGCGACGGGGGTCGGAGCGCCGCTGGGGCGCGCGGCGGCTGCCCGCGACGGGGGTCGATGTGGGGCTTTCGGCGGGGGTGACGCCCCCCGACGCTTATTTAGAAACTCGGAGTAGGCAATCTCCTCGTCGTCGCCCTCCTCTGGTCGCGCGGGGGACAGCGAGGAGGACAGGGAGGAGGTCCTCCCCGCGTTGTCCTCCTCCTCCTCGCCGCCCTCGTCTGCACTGACCCACCTCCCCGCCCCCCTCTCCCCCTCCTCACGAGGAGGGAGGGGCGGGGGGCAAGGAAGGAGGCGGGTCTGTACGAACGCTTGGCCGGCGGCCGCGCGGCCCGCCCGCGCCTCGTTGGCCACGGGAGAGTCGCTGCTCCCCGCCGCCCCGCCCCCCGCGCAGCAGGTGGAGCGCCAGCCCTCGGACGGCTTCGCGCGGCAGCGCAGGCGCCCTCCCGGGAGCGGGGGGGCGAGGGCCTTTCTTGGACGCCGTAGTTTTGGCATCGCTCGGACGTGTGCCCTTTTTTTTCGGCGGGGATTAGTAAGGAGCATCCTGGATCATCCTGCGAAAAACCGCGCACGAAACCGAACAAAACACAGGGAGTGGACGTCCGAGCGAGGGCAAGTAGTGCGAAGTCGGGCGTGTCCCTCCACAGGAGGAATGCGCGACAAGGGTAGCAAATAGTACGGGAAAGACGCTTCGTGTTAGTTTGGTTATGCTCATGGCTTTGATTGTGCATTCCCAACCATTATGTTGTGCTGGGTCTTCGTTTTGAAGAGACAGCGCCCCGCGTTCCTTCCTTCCTTCCCGCTGCCCCCTCCCACCCCCTGCTCCCTTCTCTCATCCGCCTCGTTATCGCCCTAGTCATTGTTATTGTCGTCATCATCATCGCTATCGTCATGATCCACACCATCATGATTATCACCATCGCCATCGTCAGCGCCGCGCCCCTCACACGATTCGTGGCACCACAGGGAGCTCCACCGAAGGCCAAAGTGGCAGCGGTTGCATGCGTCACCGCCGCCCCACACTGGTTGGTGGGACACCCTAGCTCTGGAGTAGACCCACTAAAAGACATGGCTACTCAACATATGGAAACATATGCGGTGCCGCGTGTTAGTTTACCACATCAAGCGGCAGAGTTGAAAAATGATCAGTAGCAGCCCCAGCGGCACACCCGTGAAGAAGGTGCCCGTGAAAACGGCGCTGAGTGGAAAACGCGGTGCCCCCCCGCCCCCGCTGGGAAAACTCCCCAGAACGACAATCAACAGAAACCCGCAACGGCCTAAGCGCCGCAGTGGCCGGCACCCACGGAGCCCGTCCAACAACCACGCAGAGAGAGGACTTTTACGATGTTTCCTTTCGTCACCGAGTCGTTGCCTCAATCTGCAGTGGTGCCGTAGGGGTGATCCCAGGGGCGACCGCCGCGACCCGTCGACCTTTGCGGTCCCTGCCGATGGCCACTCCAAAGAGCCTGGCAGCGGCAGCGGGTGGCGGTGCGAAGTCATGCCTCTACCGTCGCGTCGATTGGCACTTTGATGATGCCGCTTTGTAAAGCCGCTCATTGGCGACAGGTGACCCTTACAGGTCATCAGAAGACGACGCATGGTGCCGCGTAGTGCCTACTAGGTTTGCCTCGGCCGCGGGAACGGCCGACCCGGTGACCCCGAGCAGCGTGTCCAGGGACAGTTGCAGGAGGGTGTAGGTTTCGTCACCTTGGCACATCCCTCACACGGTTCGTGACCCCATGGGAGCTCCACCGAAGGCCTCAGCGGGAGTGTCCGCATGGCACCGCCGCCCCATTTCGGCACACCCCTCACACGGTTCGTGGACCCATAGGGAGCTCCACCGAAGGCCCCAGCGGGAGTGTCCGCATCGCACCGTTGCCCCATTTTGGCACACCCCTCACACGGTTCGTGGCTCCATAAGGATTTCCACCGAAGGCCCCAGCGGGATCGTCCGCATGGCACCGCCGCCCCATTTTGGCAGTCCCCTCACACGGATCGTGTCCTCATAAGTGACTCAAAAGGAGTTCCACCGAAGGCCCCAGTGGGAGTGTCCGCATGGCTCCGCCGCTCCATTTTGGCAAACCTCTCACACGGCTCATGGCCCCAACGGGAGCTCCACCGAAGGCCCAAGCGGGAGCGTCCGCATGGCACGGTTCGTGGACCCATAGGGAGATCCACCGAAGGCCCCAGCGGGACCGTCCGCATGGCACCGCCGCCCAATTTCGCAACCTTTTTCACACGGTTCATGGCCCCGAAGGGAGCTCCACCGACGGGCCCAGCGGGAGCGTCCACATGTCACCGCCGCTTCATTTTGGCACACCCTTCACCCTGTTCGTGGCCCCATAGGGAGTTCCACCGAAGGCCCCAGCGGGACCGTCCGCATGGCACCGCCGCCCTATTTTGGCACACCCCTTACACGGTTCGTGGACCCATAGGGAGCTCCACCGAAGGCCCCAGCGGGAGCGTCCGCATGGCATTGCCGCCCCATTTTGGCGCACCCCTCACACTGTCGTTGCACCGTAGGGCGCTCCGCCGAAGGTTCCAGCGGGATCGTCCGCGTGGCACCCATGTCGGCGCACCCCATCACATGTTCCGTGGTCCCCATAGGGAGTTCCACCGATGGCCCCCGAGGGGGTGTCCGCATGGCACCGTTGCCCCATGTCGGCGCACCCCTCACACGGTTCGTTTCCCCAGAGTTACACCGAAGGCCCCAGCGGGAGCGTCCGCATGGCACGGGCCGCGCACGGGGCTCGGGCGAAACCAAGAAGGCTCCCCGTTCGCCCGCGTCAGTTTTTCTCCCATATGGTTGGTTCCTTCGTCAGGCTAATTTTTGGATCCGCCTGTAGGAGGACATGCCCGACCTAACTCTAATGGGTCGCGGGTCGCCTTGTCCAGTTCAGGGGAGGTGGAAGGGGGAGGGGTCAAGCTACCCACCCGTCCGCAAGCCGTCCAGTCCACTCCCACCCGCCCTCCCAACACACATCAGCAACACCCGAGCCTGAGCATGTTCAGCGGTCGTCTTTGGATGGGAACCAAAGCCGACCCAAGGGGCGCGACGCTTGGGCAAGGTGCGCCACACGTGCCAGGGGCGCCAGGCGCGCGGGGCGCGCGCGCGCCAGGGGTGCCAGGCCCTCCCCGAGCCCGCCCTGCCCGCGACCAGCGTGGACCCGCGATGGCCGCGTGTCTCAACACCGCCAATGGCTCCGCTCCGAGGCGGGGATTTATCCATATCCACCGCCTCGGGGATCGATCCTCGCGGACCTCCACAGGCGGTGGATATGGATATATTCGGGCCCTCGGGGGCCAACATATATCCATATCCACCGCCCGCCAGGGCACCAGGACGTTGGTTCCCAGGCGGTGGATATGGATAAATTCCCGCCTCGCATCCGCGTGACCTTCCAGTAGCACAAGCTGGCAGGGAGGACCGCGCCAGCGGCCATGCTGGCGGCAACGCAGCAGCGGGCGTTGCCGAAACGCCAAGGAGGTGCGGCTCGTGGCTACGGAACGCCACAGCGCCCGTGTGTCCAGGGCCGCCGCGGCGTCCCAGACAGCCCCCGACGGGCGCTCTGACGCGACAGCCGCTCCCTTTGATATATATATATATATATATATATATATATGTGTATGTGTGTATATATATATATATATGCTGGCTGATGGCCGGCGCGGCTGCGGAGAGCCACGAGTGCATCGAGGCCGGCCGGACCAGAAGGTTCGCACGGTCGAGCGCCGTCGGAAGGCCAACGTGATCGCGCAGAGGCAAAGCCTCAAAGTGGCCTCGGGGCTGGAGGTCCTCAAGCAATCCTTCGGTTCCCTGCTCGGCTAGGAATCATCATTGTCAAAACCATCCCCACCCCCACTGGGGCAGGGTAAGTAGGCTCTCCCAGTGTACCCTCTTTAGGTGGGGATGGGCGCTCCGAAGCCCGACGGAGACGGAGGTAGATTTCCCAGTGGGACGAAGGTTTCCCCAGTGGGGAGGGGAGTGTCTATCTCGTCCACCAGGAGAACCGCATGCGCAATAAAGGATGGGCTGTGCCTGTCCCTCCGCACGATGCGGGGGCCCGCCAGGCACGTGCGAAAGTCCGTCGTGTTGACTGTAGAGAACGCCCGCGGAGAAAGAATCCTGCCTCCGCAGCCATTCGCTACGCGACGCCGCCGACGACCTTGGCATCGAGTCCGGCAGCGGGAGCGGGAAGGGGCGCACCTTGTCGTTGCGGAATTTCGCATTGGCCCACATGCAGCGTCAAGATCTCGAGGTGGCCGCCCAGCAAGCGCAGCCCGGGAGGGTCAACTTTTCCGCTAAGGCCTCCGTTGCCGCAAAGGTCCGCGTGACCGGGACCTCTATTTCGCGGGCATCGAGGACGCATAGGAGGTGCCCATGCGCGACCCAGAGGCCATGGTCATGCGGCGAGTTCCGGAGTGCCAGTGTCTTCAGCGCCGGCCACGATCAGGATGATTCGGGGTGTTGGAAAAAGGACGGTCCCTAGCTGGATGAGATCGAGCGCGGCGCCAAGACGGCCTGGCGCGCGTTGCGCGATGTACTCTTAGTGCTGGCGTCGCGTAAGAGCGCGTGCGATGTGCTACCGAAGACGGGCGCGATCTACGAATTGGTGAAGAGGTCGTGGCGGCCCACCAAAGACGCTTCGGCGAAGGAGGTCAAAAAAGTCGTGGGTGACTTTGTTGAGCTGTTTCTGCCCCGCGCCCCCTCCAACCCAGCGCGATCCTGTGCATGAGGGGCGTCCACCTGCTGCCGCCGGAGGTGCTGAAGTCCATAGGGGCGGAGGTGAAGAAGGTGTGTAAGCTCGCGACGCTTGGAAGGAAGCGGACTGAGGCGTTTCGCATCGGCGAGGGCGCCCCTTCCAGCGCCTGCTGGAGAAGGTGCGTGCGCCGCGAGCTACGCGCTCGGAAGGCGACGCTGCAGGCCGACGCCGCCAGGGAGCTCGCAGACTCCCGCGCGGCCTGTGCGCAGCAGAGAAGAATTCCGAAACGCAGACGTCAGCGCTCAGCCTGGACAGGCACGGCTTCTCGAATGAGGCGCGGGCGATGAACGGGTGGCCGACGAGGTGGCAGGCGGACTTGCGCAAGGCGGGCTCCATGCACATGGTGATGGAATGGAAGGACTGGTTCGTCGTCAAGTGCCCGCACTGCGGGGAGCTGGGCCCGCTACCCCGTCCGTGTGATTGTGGAGCGGGGTGTGCAGTATTGGTCATGGCACCAAAGGCAGCGCCACGCAGCAGCTTGCAGAGGAGCTGCCTCCGTCCCCGTGGTGAGTTCGAACGTGTAGCCTGCTGGCCTATCCCAGAAGACTTCTGCGCAGGAAGCGCATGTTGAGAAGGACACTGCCGTCCATCCGTGCAGCTACCACAAGCTTTCCCGCCGGATACTGCCTGCGATACGGCAAATGCTCTGTTTCGATAACGGTTCGCCCTCTATCGGGGCATTGGTCGGCCATTTCTATTGTCAGCGTTCTGAAGGGTGATATACCGTATCGTACGAAACGCCCTGCCCGTTCTACGGACGCGTGCGGTGGTTCGCACAGGACGACGTTCTGTCTCTGCCAGGAAACAGTAGGATTGGAAAGGAAGGGGGAGGAGGAGAGGCAGGATAGCATGAGAAGGAGGGGGACGAGCAGAAAGCGCTAGGCTTTTCAATGCCAGAATCTGTTTTGGTCATCTGGGATGTCCGGAGGAGGAGGGAGGAGGTGCTGAGTGGAGGTCCTCCCCCTCTCTCCTCATTCGCCCCTCTGTCTGCCCTCCTCCCACATCTGTCTCCGCGACCTAGTCTTCTCCATCCTTCTTCTCCTCCTTCTCCTCCTCCTCCTCCTCATGCTCCTCATGCTCCCGGGAGGCCCATCGGCAACCAATCACGCCCCTCATGCCCCGCCCCTTTCCGACCCGGCTGCTGGCCAGTCAGGCCCATCTCCGATGCTTAAGTCGAAATGCTTCGAATTTGCCTTAGATTTCTTGCCGTCGTGTTTTTTGTTTGGGGGGTCATAGCCGCGCCCCAGCGCAGTCCAGGTCGGTCGGGCTTGGCCGCAGTCCTGGCCCTTCGAATCTCTCCTCCTCCTGCCCCCCCCCGTTCCTCCGCTCGTGCTTGCCCCCGAGGCGCCGCGAACGCAGGCCGAGAGGCCCGCCTGGAAACACTTGGCATCCGGCGGGCCGGTGTGGTCCGTCCCTTGCGGACGGGGCCAGGACCGAGATAAGCCGTTCCAGAGCGTTCCGGGGCGCCTTCAGAGCGTAATGGAGCGCTTCGGAACGGCCGCGGCTTTTGATAATTCTCCAGAACCGTCGGATCGCAGAGATTTCCGATTCATCCAGGTCGGATTTTGTAGATGTGAAGACAGCGCCGGCCTAAGATGTGGGCCTTGTCGTCTGTAGATGTGAAGACAGCGCCGCCTAAGAAGTAGCCCCCTTCGGAGAATCCTTCCCCTCTCCCCGTAGCCCCGTGTGCGCGCTGCCAATGTTCGCTGCGCTCGCGGTCCCAGCACCCTGGCGCCGCTGTCTAGTCCAGCCTTGGGGTTGTGCACAGACGGCCCCCCCAGGTAGCTCCGCCTCCGGCGGCGTCCCTGGGGCGCTCCGCACCCCCCATGGATCGGGGTGTCGAGGCCGCGCCCGTTGAGGCCAGCCGGGACTATTCGGGGGGTCCTCCTGAGGCCGGCCAGGACACCCTGGGGGGGGGGGGGTTGTCGGTGCGCAACCCGGGGCCGAACCACCGCTCGTCGCCCTCGGCCCGCCACCGGCTGCAGCGCGTGACGCGCTGCAGCCGGTGGCCGACTCGGACGCGCTGCGCGTGACGCGCTGCACGTGACGCGCTGCAGCGCGTCACCTCGGACGCGCTGCGCGTCCGAGGTGGCCCCTCTGGCGATCGGCCCCGCCCCGCCCACAGGAGCCCCACTGCCGGGCAGGCGCCGCAGCAGTCGCCCGCCGCGGCGCAGCCCCGCCCGTGCCCCGCCGCACCGCTGCAGGCGGGGGGGCGCTCAGGGCCAAGGTGTGTGGCGGTCAGAGTCTCGAGGAGTTCCCCCCCCCTCCCCCTTCTTTCCTCCTGTCCTTCTCCGTCGCCCCCTCTCCCCTCCTATCTGGACAGCCGTTGCAGGAAGGAGGCCCCTCGCCATCAGTTGGGGAGTTGGCCGTTCACTTCATCCGCGCTGCAGCTCGTTGCCTGTCCTCGCCCTCTTTTCCCCTCATGTCAGAGACTAGCTCCCCTAGTGAAGAGACAGACTAAACTCCAGATCCTTTTGAGATTTTCTGACTTTTTCGCATGGTCTCGGCGGCTTCAATCGGCGGCGAGCGGAGGGGAGAAGTGAGAAGGATAAGGCCTCCTCGGATGGCGGCGGGACTTCTCAGAAGCCCTCGCGCCTTCTGAACGGCTTTCTGTGTCGTCGGAGAAGCATAGACAACTTCTCATAATGTTGCGGGGTTTCAGGCCTTCTGAGAAGGCCCGCCCCATCTCACTCCCCCCTGGGCGCGCCTCGATCCAAGCCTCGAGAGGCGTTCCAGCGGCTGCGCCTCGCCAAGGGCGTTCTGGAGAGCCCCACATCGCCCCGAGAAGCCGACGGAGAGCCGACGTGGCAACGCTGCGGTGCTCCAGGCCGCCCAATTGGGCTCCGAGAAGACAGGGTCGGCGATGCGGCTCGATTTGGAGCCCGACTTTCTGCACGCCGACGTCGCCGATGCATCGCCGATGTATCGCCGATGCATCGCCGATGTGCCGGCGATGTAGAGGCGTTGTAGCGAGATCCGCCGACCCGATCCACTCCTACTCTAGGAGGTCTCTAGGGGGATCTCTCTCTTCTTTGGCCTGGTGGGCGCCGTCACCAGCTAGTCGCGACCCTTCACTGGCCGACCTGTTCGCCTGATTTGGGTGTTTCGCCAGCTACGCTCTTGAGCCCAATGCTGCTTGTAGCGCCCCCATGCCAGCCGCCAAGAAAGAACGTACAGTGGTAAGGTTTGCCGTTCGCGCCTTGGAGATCCGCTGTTTCTTCCATGTGCAGGTCGTTTGTGAGGGTTCAGTCGAAATTTGCCAACGCGCCAGTCGGTGCGCTGCCAGATCCAGAATCGGTCGGACGACGTTGCCTCCCGTTGTGTTCCGCGGCCTCCCTTTGGACTCCCTTTGCATCCCGTGGCCTCTTGTCCCCATCCCTCGATCCCCATCCTTCTTATCAGTGGTCCCACCCCTGAATCCCTATATCCCTAGATCCCCGGTTTCCCGATCCCACATCCCTATCCTATCCTCCCCCATCGTGGCCCCCCAGCGTGGCCCCCATCGTAACTGGCTAAAGCGGGTTGGGGCATTCTGCCGCGAGCGTGTCTGTTTTGTCAGGAGGCGGGCCATTTGAGACATGCTGGCTCTGCTCCAAGGTGGCAACCGTCACACTGTATATTGCATGCTCGTTGGCGGGCTTCGCCCCGCATGCTTCCTCCTACGCGTATTGATCTCGCCTTCTCTTCTCAAGTATACGCGTTACCCGTCCCTTCAAAGCCACGGCCGTCTACGATCCGATTCGCGGCCGGGGCCGCGAGTCCGCTTCGATCCGTTTCGGCCAGATTCGCCAGCATCGGCCTGGGCCTGTCAGTGCAGGGCGCGGCGATGTCTGAGCTCGATGCAGTTCGCAAGCGATCTGATGCGTGCCCGACCCGATCCGATGTCGGGATTCGATGTATGATGTTCTAACCGATTTGCGCCTTGACCACCAGGAAGAGTTTCGAGCACCAAGGACATGGCCAGCTTGCACGTGTCGGGCCCTGGGAGGCAGCACGCGTTCGACATTGTTTCGATGCTTTTCTGTGTGCCCGAATTTGTTTCTAGGACGTTCCCCTTAAGTACGATGGGAACAACATAAGATTCGATCCAGCTCAGGCCTGAAAGCCCATCCTGCATATTCTTCTCCACGTGCCCCTCCCAGGCTGCATACTTCGAGAAAGGGAAGCATCATAGGCATGCACGTCCGACGGTTCGCGCGGTTTTCTTGGATCTCCGCTGAGCCTCCCTCCTTGGCGGGCGGAGCGCGCCAGCGGCGGCGCGGGGGACGCCGCCAGGGGTGTACAGCGCAGATCCAAGAACTCCGCGCGGACCGTCGAAAGTGTATGCTTATACCTGAAGGGGCCCCAGGACACACAAGTAAATACACACAAATAAACATATTCCCCAGATGTTCCCATATTTTCTGGGTTTTTGTTTTCCCCCCCACTTCCCATATTTTCCCATATTTTCTGGGGAATCGACGATTAATTGCGTCTGTGTTTCTGCATTTCGTTGTTCTTCTATTAAGTCGCAACGCAAATTATCCTGGCGAAGGACCCAACTACACGCAGTTGTGGGTGCCGCATTTGTGAATATCTTCTTCGGTGAAGCTCCCTATGGGGCTTCGAAGCGCTGCACTGGTGCACTGGGTGGAGGGGAACGCATGCGGGCGGTAGCACTGGTGCCGTCGGTGGAGCTCCCTATGGGGCCACGAAGCGCTGTACTGGGTGGGTGAAACTGCCAAATTGGGTTTCCGGGGCGCATGCGGGCAGTCTCATTGGGGGGTTCGGTGCAGCTCCCTATGGGGCCACGGCACGCTGAACTGGATGGGAGAAAATGCCAAAGTGGGCGTGTGGGGCGCATGCGGGCGGTTGCACTGGGAGCTTCGGTGGAGCTCCCTATGGGGCCGCGAAACGTTGTACTGGGTGGGTGGAAATGCCAAATTGAGCTTCCGGGACGCATGCGGACGGTCCCACTGGGGGCTTCGCGGGCGGTCGCACCGGGAGTTTCGGTGGAGCTCCCCATGGGGCCACGAAACGCTGTGCTTGGTGGGTGAGAGTGCCAAATTCACTCGTCCCGGACGGTGCTATTGGGGGCTTCGGTGGAGCTCCCTATGGGGCCACGAAGCGTTGTACTGGGTGGGTAAGGATGCCAAATTCATGCATCCCGGACGGTTGCACTGGGAGCCTCGGTGCAGCTCCCTATGGGGTCACGAAGCGTTGTATTGTTTGGGTGAGAAGGCCAAATTCACGCGACCCGGACGGTCGCTTTGGGAGTTTCGGTGGAGCCCCCTATGGGGCCACGAAAGGTTGCAATGGGTGGGAGAGAATGCCAAATTCACGCGTCCCGGACGGTCCGACTGGGGGCTTCGGTGCAGCTCCTTATGGGGCCACGAAACTTTGAAATGGGCGGATGAAACGCACGGGGGAGGGAGGAGGGAGAGGAAGGGGAGGGAGAAAGGAGGGAGGAGAAACGCGGGGACCGTCTCTTCGAAACGAGGACCCAACACCACAGGATGGTTAGGACAAAACGTAGAGACACGATCGTCAGTTCCCCAAGAACATATGGAAACATATCGGAAGGGGGGGGAAGACGAACACCTAGAAGATATGCGAAGATAATGGGGTCCTGGAATTTTAGAGTATTTATTCGTGTTCCTGGGCCCCTTCAGTGCCGACTTGCAGAATGTCGTGTAGTTTTCTTTCGTCCCCTTCATTTCCCTCCTCCTTCCTTGCGTCTCCCCGTCCGCCCAACCAGTGCCCCAATTTGGAGAGTATCGATCTTCCTTTTGCCCTCAAGCGAGGCCGCATTCGGAGGGCTCGTGTGCTTGGGCTCAAATGTCTTCGTGGTCGAGTCGTCGTCGTGGTCGTCATCGCCGTTGTCCTCGTCGTCGTCGTCGTCGTTGTCGTCGTCGTCGTCGTTGTCGTCGTCCTCGTCGTCGTTGTCGTTGTCGTCGTCGTCGTCGTCGTCGTCCTCGGCGTCGTCGTCGTCGTGGTCGTGGTCGTCGTCGAGGTTGTCGTCGTCGTCGTGGTCGTCTTCGTCGTCGTGACGTCAGCGTGCACCGTCGTCGTCGGCCGTCGTCGTCGTCGTCGTCGTCGTCGTCATCGTCGTCGTCAGCATCGTCGTCGTCAGCGTGCGCCGCGCCACGGGCCTCTGCCGCGGCAGGGGGGCGCGCTGGCGCCCGCGCAGATCCTCAACGAGGCGGCCGCGCCCCGCGCGGCCGGGGGGGCCCGCTCCCTCGGAGCTTCCTGGCCGCCTGGGGGGGGGGGCAATAGATAAAGGGGGGGGGGCTCCTTCTCCGCCTCCTCCTCCTCCTCCTCCTCCTCTCCCCTCCTCTCCTCCTCCTCCTCCCCCCCTCCTCCTCCTCCTCCTCCTCCTCCTCCTCCTCCTCCTCCTCCTCCTCCTCCTCCTCCTCCTCCTCCTCCTCCTCCTCCTCCTCCTCCTCCTCCTCCTCCTCCTCCTCCTCCTCGAGAGAGAGAGAGAGAGAGAGAGAGAGGTGAGGGGGGATAGGCCTGGTCCCTGCAGTTGTCGGGGGCGGTTCTCTCTTTCTCGTAGTTTTCCTTGCGTGGTTGCGGCTGCAACCGGCAGTTGGACTTCCTATCCGGTGAGGCCGATCCCACTATCGACGCGTCTCACAAGGAGGTTGCACCTCAGGAAGGCCCCCCCCCCCCCAGAGAACGACCCTGGTCCGCGTCGGTAGCAGCAGTGGGGCCGATGCTTTCATGGGGGGTGGTTCCTTCTCCTGCTCGCCCATCGTCTCTCGCCGTTTGCCTGTGCTCCCGCCTTCCCCCCCCCCACAGTCTCAGTTCATGCTCGGACCACGGGGCGGCAGTTGGACGAGTTGTTGCAAGGGAGGGCCTCCGAGCCAAAAGAGCGGCTCCTCCAGCTGTGCCAAGCCCTGCATTCTTGGGGAGAGGAGGCGGAGGATTCTGCCAGATTCTCCTGGCCTGAGCTCCAAAGTTGCGAATCCGCGCGCAGCGGTCACGATAGAAGCTCCCCCTACAGTGGTGGAGGCCCATGCCAAGAAACACCCTGCTTGCCTCCAGGGTGCCCTGGGTGTGTTGGGTTTCGATGGCTTCGCTCTGGAAAGCGTGACGGCCGCACGTCAAAAGCCAATGGACCTCCTGGCGTATCGGGGCTGGCCTCCGCCGTATCTCCCGTGGACTGGCCTCCGCCGTATCCCAGGACGCCCCTGGTCGACAGGGCTCCCCTCCGCACGCGTGGCCCTGAGGAAGGGGCCGGGTCCTCGAGGAAGGGCAGGGGGAAGGAGCAGCGGGAGGTGGGGGAGGGATTGCAGGAGCGAGGAGGAGGAGGAGGAGGAGGAGGAGGAGGAGGAGGAGGAAGAGGAGGAGGAGGAGGAGGAGGAGGAGGGAGGGGAGGGGGAGGAGGAGGATGGGAGGAGGAGGAGGAGGAGGAGGAGGAGGAGGAGGAGGAGGAGGAGGAGGAGGAGGAGGAGGAGGAGAGGAGGGGGAGGAGGAAGGGGAAGGGGGAGGGGGAGGGGGAGGGGGAGGCGCGGCGGGACAGGGGAGGAACACCAGGGTCCACAGGGGTTTGACGACTTCTCGCCGATCGACTTGCGAGAAGCAAGCCAGGTAACTCGAGGGGAATTCCAGGTATATGTCAAGGCGGATCCCGATACATCGGGAGACATCCAGAGATCTCAAGAGATATCTGGAGCAAGTCGCTGACGCGTCAGCGCGAGTCGAGGGGCAGCAGAAGCCGTGAAGCTCTCAACGACAGGGGTTGCACGCAGGCTACCCCGCACCCCCGCCCCCCCGCGGCTCTTCGAAAAAGGTGGTCAGCAGCGTCGGCGAGAGCAAGAGCCTGAAAGCCGCCTCCCGCGCGCTGGGGCTCTTCGTCAGGATGCAGCAGACGATGGCCGCGCCTGGCGCCCCATCCATGGCGAACCGGCCGCGAGGAGGAGGGCTCGTTGCGATTTCTCCCGTTCGATTCGGTCCGAGTTCCGTGGCTTCCCATTCCGAATTGATTCGATTTCGGATCTCGATCTGGATTCCGAATTCTCACTGGAGGCCTGCTGGCCTGCCAATTTCCGCGGTTCCGACTTTTCCCTGCTCGGTTGCCGATGTCCGCCGATCCGCTTCATTTCGATTGTCGATTCAACTTGGGTTCTCCTGGCGAGGAGGTGGAGGAGGAGGAGGAGGAGGAGGAGGAGGAGGAGGAGGAGGAGGAGGAGGAGGAGGGGGAGGGGGAGGGGGAGTTGGGAGGGGAGGGGTAGGAGGAGGAGGGGGAGGAGGAGGAGGAGGAGGAGGAGGAGGAGAAGGAGGGGGGAAGGCCCCAGGGTCCAGGACCCGTTTCATTCAGGACCTGTTTCCCTCATCTCATGCTAAGAGGGAGGTGGGAGAAGGGAGGAGAAATGAGGGTTAACGAGCACGAGGAGGCCGTTCACAATGCGAAGGTAGCTTCACGTTTCTGCGATGTTTGTGTTGTCTGACGTAGCCAGCTGCCACCAAACCCCTGCACTCCGAGCACCGACCGGGGACCCCACGGCCACATCGGCTGCAGCTTCAGATCCAGATCTCGTCGTCGAGCTGCCTGGCATACCCCATATCGCCTCGGCAGATCGGGGCTGCCCCCCCCCCCCCTGGCCCTGATCTGAGGCGAAGGTGGCCCAGGGCTCCCAGCACTCGGCCCTGGACTTCTACACCACGGTGCTGCAGTGCGCCGTGCGCATCGGGCGGCCGGCCGCCCAGCGGGCCTCGAGACCTCGCCCCGCCCTCCCCTTCCGGCAGCAGGAGGGAGCAAGGCTCCTGGCCAGGCCACGGCGGCGCACGACGGTGTCCAACGGTCTTCCGGCCACGTCGCCCGACGGCTTTATCTCGACACCCGGCGGCCTCTGGACGAAGCCCGACGGCCTTTGGAGGACGCCCGACGGTCTCTGGACGACGCCCGGCGACGGCTTCTGGACGCGAGACCCCGCGACGGCTTGGGCATGTCAAGCAGACGTTCGACGAAGGAGCGAAAGGCGGAGTGGGAACGCGCGTGCCTTTCCCCACAGCCTGCCAGGCAGGCGGCTTCCCCAGCCGATCCGACGCCGTGGACGGGACAGGCCCTGGTGCGCGAGTGTGGACAGCATGAGCCATCCCCACCCCCACCCAGGACCCCACTCCCGACCTGGTGATTCGAGGTGTCGTGGCTATGGTTGGGGGTGGGTTGGTGGCCCCCACGAACACCAGAAAACCATCCCTACGTACCCCCAGCAAGAGCCCCCTGGATCATCAGGTCTGGAGTGGGAATCCGTGCTGGTGCTGGGGGTAGGTTCTGCTGTCCTCAGTGAGTGGGGAAAGCTTGGCTGCCCTTTGAGGGAGCGTTAGTGATCGGCGGCGGATCCCGAACCCCACCATCGCCGAACAACGACTCAGGCAACTCGTTGGCGGCGGGGATAGGCTTCCGAATTCGTCGATCACGTGGCGAGATCCGAACCCTGCCCCCGCCTCGCATCGATTCAGGAGATTCGATGGCTGGTGTGGGTGGGGATAGGATGTCGCAACCTCAGAAAAAACTACATTTACCAAAACTGTCGGAGCTCCGCGAGGACGTCTTCGATCGGCGCTGGCCCCGCTCCCGCTTGGCTGTGCCTCCGACGCGCTTCGGACGCCGCCACATCGGTGAGCGACGGGGTGACCAGGAAGCGTATTGAGGGAGGCCACCGGAGGCCTCCTGGACCCCCACCGGCGGGACGTCCTCGGGACCCTTCTGGGGCCATCCCGGGAAGTATTGGGAGCGGGGCAGGCAGCAGGGAGAGAGTCGGGTGGGTGGAAATGGGTTTTTTTTTTTCTGACATGAGGGGTGAAAAAGAGGGGTCTAAAGGGGCCCTTCAGGACCCCTTAGCTCCTGCTGGCTCCAAGAGGTGCTCTCAAGGACCCTTTTGGGGTCCCTTTCCTTCACCCCCCAGTCAAGCCACCCCCCATTACCACCCACCCGCTCAAGGATTGGCTCAAGGATTGGCTCAAGTTTTCGCTCAAGGTTTCGCCAAGGGCTGGCTTGTTTCTAGGCACAACCTTTCTCAACTTCCTCATACCCTACAATCCCATACCCTACAATCCCATTTCCCAGAACTTACTCTTACCATCATCAGATTTCACATCTCTCTTGCTTTGTCGGTGGATATAACCCTTCTTCGATCAGATGGCTGGACGTCAGGTACTTTCGAAGCGTGGAAGGGGCAACGATGAAGCAGAAGAAATTGAAGATGCAGCCGATCTGGTCGTAACACGGTCGGAGCTCGACACAATTTTGAACAGTCTTCGAGGAGATTTTGACACGATTGTGCAATCGAACGTCAAACAGGCTTCGAAAGAGTTCCTACAATCAACTACGTCTGCGATCAAGAAGATGGCGGAGATGCAGGACCGGCGCTTCGTGCAGCTCGAGACGCAGATGGGCGACCTGAGCGCTAAGCAGACTGCACTACAACAGGATCAAAAAGAGATGCAAGCCTCCATCGAGAAGATTCTGAAGATCATTGCCGAGGCCGAAGCTTCCATTCCCACCCCTTTACCTACGAATGGGACGAATTGGGAGCGGGACTTGGACCCAACTATCTTCAAGCTGTCTTGCGCGGAGCTCTTCACCACCACAGAGGCCCTCAAGTCCATAGAAGAGTGGATTGGTGAGTTGGGCATCCAACGCGACCAATGGACAATTGAAGGTACTACGCCTGCTAAACGCTTTACGCTCCGATTCAAAGGGGCATCCGGCTTAGCATCGCGACGAGTTCAAAAAGCATATGATTTACTCCGCAACCATGGCAAGTGGAGAGACTTTCGTGTCCAGACCGTCACGGGGGAGTTGAAGAATTTGTACATCTCCTTGGACAAGAACGGCAAACAGATTAAGACCGAAATCCAGACGAGGAAGGCGTTCGACATCATGCAGCTCCAGCATTCTCAGTTGCCATGGAGGGCAGACAAACACAGGGGGACCGTCTCGGTTGACTGGGACCCGATTCTCAAAATCGAGCCCGCCCCCGGGGACGAGCCTACCAAGCTACTCTGGAATTACAGTGGGGTTGCGAAATATACGATTGACAAGGATGCTATTGCCCACGCGTTTCGGGAAGCTTTCAAAGCGAGACCTGAGCCAGTGTGGCAAATCTGACTCCCTCACGAGACCTTGTAAGAGGGACGGCCTACGTGCCGGCAGTGCCACTACAAGTACGTTCACCACGAAGGGGGGGGGACGCGGTACGTATAAAGACGTTGCTGGCGACTTCCCTGTGGCAGCCATGCGTTGTCGCACCAATATTCCCACGAATTCAGAAGCTCCTTGTATTCCTTCATCTCCACATTCATCAGTTTCCTCATGCTCATCTTCATTGCCTTCACCCTCACGTGCCTTATCGTTCTATCCAGACTCTCGCTCCCATGATACTTGCACGATCTATCACAAGAACGCTCGAGGCCTAAGCAATGGAGACCGGATGGACGAGTTGTTCTCCGAATTATCTACTCTCGAATGGGATTTCTTGACCCTCAATGAGACGTGGCGGACTGTCAAAAGCGAGTTCTGGACCACAAGCGAGGGTCATGCATTTATGGGATGTGGACATACAGACAACCATAGAGGCGTGGGGATCGTAGTTCATCGCAGATGGGTACATCAAGTACAAGCCTTCCATCCTGTGAATGAGCGCATTGCTTATGTCGACGTTGGGAGTGGACGTCCTCGTTTTCGAGTTGTTACTGCATATTTTCCTCACGGTGGTTACGCAGATAAGCATGTTCAACAAGTTTACGACATTCTGAAGTGCATCAGCCAAGAAGCCCAAAAGGAGAAGCGCATGATGATTATAGGGACCGGCTGCAACGCGAAAGTGGGCCAGCAGACCGAGGAAGACGCCAAGCGCGTGGTGGGGCAGTATGCTTATGGCGACACGAATGTCCGGGGCCTCTGGTTGAAGCAATGGGCGGCCTCCACGCGACTAAGAATATTGAACGCGTTCTTTTACAAACATGACCACCAGCTCTATACCTACATCTCGCCACAAAGGGATAAGAAACAACTTGACTACTTCTTGGCTAGCAAGCCCGTTTGGGCCACTGTCCGGGATTGCGAAGCCGTTCTTGATCTTGATCTTGGTTCAGATCATCGCGCACTTCGTCTCCAATTATCTTTGCCTTTGGCCCCGGAGAGGAAGGGGGCTACGACGAAGCGGAGTCCGAAGTCCAAGAACAACATTCCAAAGTGGCCACCATGTAGTATCGACAGCTATGTGAACACGCTCACCGATCGCTTGGAGCACGTGCTCGCGTACAGTCGCCTCCAGATCACTTGCGAGATAATTGAAGAACAGCTCAGGGATGCACTCCAACATGTGTCCCAAAGAGAGGAGACCGGAAGCACGAGCCGACTTGCATCTGAAACCGTGCGTGCGCTCATGCAGAGACGCCGCGACGCGCCTATGACAGATTTCCCTACCCGGCGGCATTTGAGCAAATTGATCAAGAAGGAGACCCGTGCTATCAAGAGAGCTTGCAGACGAACGGCAATCGACGAAATTCTCCAGAAATTTCAGGGCCCCAAGAGCATCTCTGGCATGAAGTCGAGCAAGCACAAGGAATTCATAACAGAGATGGCATCCCAAGGTGGGAATATAGTTCGGGACCGGCAGAGTATCGCGAACGTTTTCGCTGACTTTTACCGGGCTCTTTACCAAGATATTCATAAGAATGGCAATCCGTACAAACAGGATTCCAGCGCAGACGCTATCATGCCGGATTTCACGGGAGATGAGTTGGATCATGTTTTACGTGGGCTCAAAAACAACAAGGCAGCTGACCAGAACGGCATAGTGGCAGAGATGCTGAAGAAAGGCGGTGGTCTACTGCGACGGCGTCTGCTCGACTTGTACAACAACGTCATCAAGCCAGGCGCTCCCACGCCAGCAGGTTGGGAGCATACTGTCATCAAAGTGCTCTTCAAAAGTGGCGACCCCCAGCTGCCGAACAACTACCGCCCTATTGCCAGCATACCGGTATTATACAAAGTCTTTTCACGATTGTTGTACAACAGATTGTGCCGTATCCTTGACGATCAACAGTGCGCGGACCAAGCTGGTTTTAGACCGCGGCGCAGTACGACAGATCACCTGTTCACAACTACGATGCTTCAAGAAGCTACGGAGGAATGGCAAATACCATTATATTTCGCGGCAGTCGATTTCAAGAAGGCGTTTGACAGTGTCACACATTCGAGTATTTGGAGTGCATTACAGAACCAAGGTGTTCCGCCGTGCTACATTGACGTCCTCGCCAAGTTATACCAGAAGCAATCGGGAGCCGTGAAAACAGACAGAACCAGCAAGACGTTCAGCATCCAACGTGGCGTCAAACAAGGCGACCCGCTTAGTTCTTTATTGTTCAACGCTGTATCGGAAGCAGTATTACGCAAAGCAAAATCTAAATGGCGGGCGTCATCAATAGGTGTTCCGGTCAGCCACGTAGGCGAGAGGCTAACCAATTTACGTTTTGCTGATGATCTCCTCTTGGCAGCGACGTCTTTTACGCACATCAAGACCATGATTGTCGACTTGCGTACAGAGGCCGCAGAAGTGGGACTGCAGCTTCACCCAGACAAAACTAAAATTTTATGTAATGGATTTCCTGTTTCACGACGTCGGAAATTGGACAGTTATGTGACCATCGGCGACATGGCGATCGAAGTGTTGCCGGGATATAAGTCAACCAAGTATCTTGGCAGGAAGTTGCAGTTCAGCGACGCCAGCATGGCCGAGGTGGAGAACCGGATCAAAATTGGATGGCGGAAATTCCACGTACTAAAGCAGGAGCTCACTTCTAGAACTTATTCCTTGGCGAGCCGCTTGAAACTCTTCAACGCCTGTGTTACCCCTACAGTTCTTTACGGATGCGAAGCCTGGGCCCCCACGGTAGATGTCTTGGGACGGCTTCGACGCACTCACAGGCAGATGCTGCGCATGATAGTCCAAGTGCCGCGACGGCGCCTCGAACAAGCATTGCGTGCCGTGCCTGTGACGAGTCCGGCCCATGAAGATGTTGTACATGCCCCCGTTACCCCGCGTCTTGCATCATCGCGATCATCAGGGAGCGACGTCGCATCCAATCCCTCTTCCCCGCCCGACCAGATTGCCGATAACATTGTCGATGTAGTTATCGAAATGGAGCCGTGGGTCGACTGGATACGACGCTCCACGCATTACGCCGAACATCAACTCGCGAAGTTGGGCGCCGCGGACTGGGTTACAGAAGTCCAGCGGCGACGATGGAGATGGGTCTCCCGCGTCGCCGCCCTCTCTGGAGCAGAATGGGCGAATATTGTTTTGCTATGGAATCCAGACCAAGTGCTCCCTCGACAAGCTAATCGACGGCAAGGGCGGCAGAAAAAACGATGGTTAGATGATCTTTTGGCACATTTCAGAACACACGTTCGTGAAGACACAGCAACTCTGAACGACATGCTGGAAGCAGCCCGCACGCCCAACTGGGCCACATATGAAAGGTCGTTATGTGAGTGAAGGCTTCCCCACATGATGATTGTTGTTTTCCACTTTCCCCGCCTCCTCCTCCTCCTCCTCCTCCTCTGACCCGGCTGCCGCGCAGACCGACGCAACTGTGCGGCCAGGCGTCGTTTTCGTTTCGCCGTCTTCCATGTTTCACACGTGGCTGGCGCCCCGGTGCCAACTTGCCGGGCCCTCGCGGCTCACCCTGGCAAGGCCGATTCCGATTCCGATTCCGAGAGGGGGATCTGAGTAGGGGGCAGCTCGATGATTCATTGATGCTCGAGCGCGAGGATGCCAACCACGGAAGCATCGACGACCCAACCAAACAGCTCACGACGAGATCATCCTGGGCCTCGCGCGCACCCGAAGCTGGCATGCCGTTCATCTTCAGATCAGAGTAATCAGGAGGAAAAAACACAGACACAATTAATCGTCGATTCCGAAGAAAATATGGGAAAATATGGGAAGTAGGGGGGAAGACAAAAACCCAGAAAAAAAATAGAAAATACGGAGAACTTTTTTTATTTGTGTGTATTTATTTGTGTGGGCCCCTTCAAAACTGTGCGTCGTGTTTTTTGTCCACGACGCGAGGTGGCTCGGGAGTGGTTGCCCCCCATGGTAGGTTCGCGTCGTCTCGACCGGCGGCGGCCCCGCCGCCGGCGTTCGACCTCTGAACGCTGGCGCCGACCCCACAGCGGCCGACGTTGAGAGGGTCGGACGTCTCGGCAATGCCGATCGTTCAAGGTTGAACGATCTCCGAAGTATCCAGTGCCGGCAGTAAATGCGAGGGCGGCTCAACATTGATGATTCCGTCCCCGCGGTGTCAGAGACCAACTTGGAAGGCGGCACGGCACGAACCTGCCGTACGAGCATGCACGGGGCGAGGTTCGACCTCCTCGACACCATCATCGACGACATGGTGCACCACGACGTGCAGCGCAGCCTCGGCTTCTACGAGCTGGCCATGAAGCAGCTGGCGGCGCAGAAACAGTACAGGCGTTTCTTGGGGATGAGGAGGAGGAGGAGGAGGAGGAGGAGAAGGAGGTGGAGGGTGACGAGAAGGAGGAGGAGGAGGAGGAGGAGGAGGAGGAGGAGGGTGACGAGGAGGAGGAGGAGGAGGAGGAGGAGGAGGAGGAGGAGGAGGTGTGATACGGTACCGTTGGCGCCGCATTGATGCCGCGGCGACCCCAGAGCGGGCCTTCAAGGTTGAAGATCATCCGTTGCTTGAGCTCGACCAGTATCGGAAGATCCCCGATGTGGGCAAGTGGCGACCATTCAAGATGGAACGATCCACAAAGTGGGAGAAGCCAACGCTCACGCCAGCGCGACAGGAACCTGCTGCGGAATTTTCGCGACTTCTCCGCAGCTCTCTCGAGCAGGCGGTTGCATAAACAGCTGTGCTGTCTCTCGGGTCCCCGCGGGATCTGGGGCCTGGCTCTGGACCCCCGGGCCCTCACCACCCGAGATGTGGCCGCCTCGTGGCCGCTCCGTGGCCGGTCCAGACTCGGGGGTGGACAGAACCCCCAACAGTGACACGTCGATGTGTGAATTGTCCGTTTTCGGTTCTCGAGAGGGCGCCGTGGCCGTTATTTTTTCCAGGCTTGCGCCCGCCAGGTTTGGGCCTCAGGTCCTTTTCACTAAACCACGTTTTACTGAAGGGAGGTCTGTCCATCCCCGGCAGACGTCCTCGGCCCGTCGCCGCCCTGGGCCGCCTCGGGGCCGCCGGACGGGACGGCGGGGAGCTCGGGGCAGGCGGCCGGCCGCCGCCCGTGGCCGCCCCGCGCGGTGGCGCTTCGCGTGTTCCAGCGGCTGTAGGCGACGCCAAGGGCAAGGGAGCGGGAGCGTCGTCGCCGACGTTTGGCGCGCAGGCTCCTCGGCGCGAGGTCGCGCGGGGAGCCTGCGCGACCTCGCGCGACCTCGCGCGAGGACAAAAAACACGACGCACACGTGGACATCGGAGACGGGCGCACACCGCCCGTCTCCGATGTGGCTTGCCGCGCTGGCGGCCCGCGTAAGCCGCCGCGTGAGGTCGCTACGTCATCTCGCGTGAGGCCCGTCTGGTTTCAGCGCGTTCTATGTGGAGCCACATTGCTCGCAGATCTTCCGTTCAAGCAGTAACAAGTTCCACACCCTCCCCGAGACAGGATTGACCGACTCCCCCTTCCCTGCGACACTGCCAATTACATTGTGATTATGCCTCCTTGTTGATGTTCGTATGAGTTCATACCATTCCAGCCGAAGCGGTATCGCAGCCCCCCATCACCCTTGTCAAATGATTCAATGTTGCTCGCACGCGTTAGTTTCGCAGGGTTTTGGTTATCCAGGGTCCTTGATGCAACATCTTGCACACAACCCACGCGCGCACATGTTGAAATCTTGCCAAACACCCCCAGTGCAAGCATGTCAATATCAGAGCCCTACAAGTTCTTAGACCTGCCACCGCAAATCTTGTAGAATGCCTTTCGGCGCCCAGTTGCCGAAACCATGAGAGAACATGTGAAGTTCAGCGGTTTCGTCCAGAAGCAGCAGTCCCAACTCACCACGCCTTGCATGCGCGTTGGTCCAGCATGCGCTCAGCGCACGAGTCCGTGCCGTATGATACCACGCGGGCCTCAGGTTCGCGCCGCCACGCGCGTTTGACGAAATTATTCTCAGGCTTACGCCACACCGCCGACCCCTTGGGGAACTCGCGGTTGCCGTGTTTTGCTTGTGAGGTTTTTTGGGGCGCTTTTTCGGGTCCTTTTGGTTGGCTCTTGGCGTTTTCTGGAGGCTTTCTTGGAGCCTCCACGTCGGCCCAAAGGGATTCGGGAATTTTTGCTTCGTTGGGTTCTTGGGGGCAATTTTGGGGCCGCCACGCGCGTTTGTCGAAATTATTTCGACACCATTGGTTTCTGAAGAATTTCAAGATCGAGTTCTTCAAATACACATTGAACACTACGTAAAAGTCTGCCGGGTTTCTTGCATTTTCACGCGCGCAGTTCCTCACCATCATTGTCAGCGTTGCCGCATCACGCCACCGTCATCGACACTCGCCGCCATTGCCGCCATCATCACTCCATCACCCAAGCGCCTTCGCCACCGACACACGGACGTCTCCATCGTCATCGTCATCACCAGCATAGTCGCCGCCATTGGCCATGCCGTCGTCATCGTCACCACCGCCACTGCCATCGCTACTATTACCATCGTTGCCGTCGCCCGCTGTCGACGTCATTATGGTACCGCGCCCGCCCGAGTCACCGACCCACATTCAAGCGCCCGCGAGCCAACGCGGCCTTGTCCACGCGTTCTTGGAGACGCCATCGTGGCTGCCAGCTGGCCGCGCTGCGCGCGAGTTCACGCGCGCCAGCACAGCCGCAGAGACGCTCCAGCCTGCGCCAAGGAGTCACCGCAAGCGTGGCCGCATGGATTGCGAGATACAAGTTGCGCCGGGTGAGAGGCGGGATGGTTGTGGCAACGCATTCGGCACATGAAGTCATTGCACCATGCACCATGCATGGCTCTTCTTGTAGATCACATAAGAAACATTGCGCCGCACATCTATACATGTTTATATATATACATACACACATGTGTATATCTATATATATAGATATTAAACAAGATAACATGTTTCACCACGTAGTTGAAACACACTCGTGGCGTCAAAATCACATTTCACCGCGTATGGTGCATTCCAAATGTTGTACCCCGTAAGCTCCAACACCTTGCTCGCGTTGGGTCGATTGCATTACATAGAAGGCAAGACGTGCATCCTGCATCACTCACGTATTGCCAGCCCAGGCAGCACGTGCAGTGACGCATTACTGCTAACACGAAGTGGCCTCTATGACACTACTCCTTGACGCTCCTCATAAGCTCCCACCCGCCCCGTCGAGAGACGACTCACAGGCGAATTGCCATGGCCACACAAGCATCGGCACGCACGGTGAGACAAAGACGGCGATCAGCCGCCCAATCACTTGCTCGATACCCTCTCCTCCGCCAGCGAAGTGCCATTGTCCAGTCCAGCAGTTCGCCTTGTGCCGTCTCCAGCGCGCTGCCTCCATGAATGCGAATACTTGTATTCCGGGGTGGCACAGTGGCGGCACCCGCCCCACATTGTCGACAGGACGGAGGAGGAGTAAGGCCATATACAGATTCCCTTTTCATGCACTTCCTCCTCCTTCCTCCCCCTCCTACTCCCGGTGCTGCCCGTCGTCCCCATCGTCAAACCTGCTCTTTCTATCGTTCAATATCCTTGTTTCCATTCCTTGTCACCATTCCCGTGGTCATTATCCTCCTCCGTCTTCATCTTCTTCTATGCCTCCGTCTCTTGGGCCTCCTCTCTCCCCTCCTTGCCTGCCTCTTCGTCCTGGTGCCGCTGTTGCTTCTCGTCCCCCTCTTCCTCCCCATCCTTGGCCTGTCCTCCCGTCCTTCGGCCGTCCCTGCCCCCGCCTGCGGCGGTCGCGGCCGCCCTCCGTGCTCCCACCGCCCGCGGCCAGCGCCGCCCTGAAGATCTACGACAGGCTCTCGGCGGATGGACTCCGTCCGTCCCACGCGACCACAGCGTGCCCGCGAGCGAGCCGAAGCGTCACAGCAGGGGGAGGCCGACCAGCGGCGGACACACGGGAGGACACTACGTGATTACCGGAGCAGGTGCAGGGAGCAGATGAGGGCGGGTAAATTCGAAGGAGGAGCAGTTGGTCGTTGGCCATGGGAAGTGGGAAGAGTATGGGGAAGAGAAGGGGGGGGGGGACAGGTCGAGGACGAGGGGTATCATCGTGAAGAGGTGGAGGAGGAGGAGATGCCCGTTTAGAATTGTCCCACCGTCTCATCTTAGGACGCTGTCTTGCTAACAGGGTCATTCAAAGCAGATGGGACGATTTCATCTGAAGCCCCCTTTTTCATTCTTAAATTCATGTGTCAGACCGCAGTCCTGGGACGCACAATTCCAGGAGATTCGGTTGGACCGTGCGTCAAAATTGAATCTACACATATTGGTGCATGCGTCTACATAGCGTTGAACCACGCTGAACTTTGGGCCACCTGCACCAATCTCAGGTGATGAGGATAGATTGAGCTGATCAGAAGACGGTGAGAATGAGGTTCCAGGCAAAAAAACAGGCCTGATGGATTAGAAGCGTCTTGCTTGAAGTACGCCTGTCTCTCTCTCTCTCTCTCTTTCTTTCCCTGTCTCGTCTTCTCTGTGTGTGTCTCTCTCTTTCTCTCTTCCTCTCTATCGCTCTCTCTCTCTCTCTTTCCTCTCTTTCTAGTGATCTCTTTCATTCTGTGTTTTTTTCTTTCTTTCCCTCTCTCTCTCTCTCTCTCTTTCTCTCCCTCTCTCTCTCTCTCTCTGAGCACCGCTTGCGCACCCAGCCGCGCCCCCGAGGCGGGCGCGGCGCAGCGCGGGTCGATCGGGCAAGCGCGGGGCGTCCGTGCAGGACCGCCTGGCACGCCGCGAGCGCCCCTCCGACCGCGAGCCCGGAACCAGCCCGCAGTGGCCGCGACAGGCACGCGCGCAGCCAAGAGCGCCACGCAGCAGCGCCAGTGAAGGGGCGCCTGCCCCGCGGGCACTCGCGCCAGAGGCGGGCGGTGCCCGTTCCCGCCCCAGGCCCGGCGACGACTGCCCGGCAGGGGGAGGGGTACCCGAGTGGCCGGCCCCACGGTGCGAGGCAGGGCTCCAGGCTCGGGCCGGACGAAAGGGGGGGATTGGGAAAGCGGGGGTTGCGAAATTTGCTGCATGCAGCTGGTTTCGGCCCCACCGAGGGGCCCATTCCTCGATACATAGCCGCCTCCGGCGCCGGGAGGCGCCGGGAAAATCAGCTACGTGAGTTGATTCTCAAACCCCCCCTTTGCTATACACCCCTTTCGCACGACCCGACAGGCGCGCCAAGCCTCGGGGGGGAGAGATGCCAAGCAGTGGCGAAGCGTCCTGGCTCGCCCATAGCCCTACCAAACAATGTTCTGAGAACCTTTTTTGTGGTCTCCACGAAGTGTTCTTAGAACATCTCTGGCTGAGATACGTCTTGTCTTAGCATGTCGGGTTTCGTTTGTGTTATTAGAACATGTTGAAGATTTCGTGGTAGGACTACAGGAATGCCGGGACGGTCGGTCCCTGCTCAAAGAAGGGGGATGGGGGGTCGGGGCTGAAAGGACGAGGGTCAAGGCAAACGGGGGTCGGCCAGAGTTGGCAGGATCTTGCAGGATCGTGCGGGATCTCGCAGGATCCTTCAAGCCTGTCGTAAATATCCCCCCCAAGGATCTTTTCAATCAAGAAATTGGCTCTCGCAAAGAACCTTATTTTGGACTCTTGGTGTGAAGATTCCCAACGTTCCGTGAGTAAGCATGCCAGTCGTAAAGGTTCATTAGTCGGCGTTTGTTGGTAATGGTTCCTTTGATTGTTTCGAGTACGCATTAAGTAGTAAGCATTTCCTTGGGTATGGGTTTCTAAGTAATGGCTCCTTTAACACGTATCACTTAACAGGGATGCCTCACCACCTTGCGATGGGCGAGCCCGCTGTGAGGCAGAACCCGTACAGGTGGCAGGACCTTGCGAACGCCATCGGAAACAACACATAATCCATTGCGGTTGGTGCAGAAGCTTCGGGCGCACCCTTGGGAAGCACTGAACAAAGCAAGCAACATTAAGCTTCCACAGCTAATGCGGGGTCGCCCTTTGGACGTCTGGGTTATCGCTTGGATGTGCTTTGCTTTTTAGGGGGGGGGGGGTATTCTAGGCTGCATTTGCAGTTTCTGCCACCATTGAGGAGGAAAGTGGTGAATCATTGAAGGATTAGGAGGAGGAGAGGACGAGGAGGTGGAGGAAGAGATGCAGCATGCCGAACCGTCTCGGCATATTGATCCACACGGAGTGGATCGATAGGGTCAGCCGGCGGGTTCTCCAGCGTGCAGTTGTTTGTTGCTATCCCTCCTCTGTTCGCGTCTGTTCGCTGCGTTATCTCTTCGCTCTCCTTCTCCTTCTGCTCTTGCTCCCCACGCTTGCTTAGGGCATGCGTTGGGCGCAAGCTTGTTTCTGCGCTCCAATTCGTCCCACGCTTGCCTGTCTGCATACAGGCCCTGTTGGCAGGTTGAGCCTGCGTCCTGCCTGCCCTATCATGGGCGGAGGTGGTGCGGGGGCATTGCGCCAGAGGCGGGCATAGGCTCATTGTACACCACTCGTTCTTTGGGGGGCAGGCTGATATTGCCCTGAAGTCGAGCTGTTGTGCTGCCCCCCCCCCATGCCTGGCATGCGCTGTTCTGTGCATTTGGCTTCCATGTCGAGCGTTCGCGCTACCTCTGGCATATCTGTCGGCGCACAGGAGTTTAATAAGGGTCCCTCCCGACGCTCACGTAGACGCTTCACCATGCCAGTTCGAGGGCATGTTGAACAAGCATTTTAGAATATGTCTGTTTCGGCTTCTTTGTCGAAGTATCGTAGGCCAGTGGTGCTGACAATTCGAGGCGGAGGAAGTTGGGAAGGAGATGCGGGAGGAGGAGTAGGAGGAGGAGGAGGAGAAGAAAAGGAAGGAGGAGGAAGAGGGAAACGGGGGCATGCGGGAGGAGGCTTTGGAGGAGGAGGATGGGGGGAGACGGTGTTGCCAGAAGAGAAGTGTGGCTGGAAAAGGGGAGGAGGATAAGGATGTGGCGAGGGCGAACAATGTAGACATGGAGAGCCAGGAGGATCATGAGGAAGAAGAGGACGACGAACATTGAGGAGGACGGGAGGGCAACAGCCGTTTGATGGGGCGGAGTGAGACGGGAAGAGCGGGGAGGAAAAAGAGGAGAAAGTGGACGACGATGACGAAACAGAGGCGGATGACGAGGCGGAGAAGGGAATGAATGAGGTGCTGGCGGCTGAGGAGGAGGAGGAGGAGGAGGAGGAGGAGGAGCAGGAAGAGGAGGAGCAACATGCAGCATACGTAGGTGCAGATGGGTGACGAGGACGAGGACGAGGACAGCGGCGACGCTGTCGCCGTCTCCATCCTCGCTGTCGCCGCGACGTCGGGAAGGGACAGGCGAGGGGGTGGCACCGTGGTTGCGGTGCCAGGGGCGAGCACGTGCACGAGCAAGAGGGCGGGGAGGAGGAGGCGGGTCGCTGGAGGATGCAGCGGGCCGGGGCGGACGGAGTCGGAGAAGACGGGGTCCGAGGACCGCGCCGCATCGCCGATGCACAGGCGATGCGGCTCGATGGGAAGCCCGATTTTTGGCACGCCAGAGCCGCCGATGCATCGCCGACGTTGCCGATGCATCGGCGATGCGTTGGCGAAGGGGGGGTCCTCCAACCCTATATGCTGGGTGGGACCTTCTTTGGGGTGCCTCCATAAAAAAAAAACGTTGGGGGGTCGAGGAGAGCCTGAAATGGGCCGATCTGTTGGGACCTTCTCTGTGAGGCCTGTATAAAAACGTTGGGGGTTCGAGAATTGCCTGAAAAGGGGCCATATGTTTAGATCTTCTTTGGAAGGCTTTACTAAACACGTTGGGGGGTCGACAATTGCCTGAACGGGGCCCATCTCGTGAGACCTTCTGTGGGAGGCTTCTCTACCAACTAAACTAGAATGGGGGGTCGAGAACTGCCTGGAAGGGAGCCCGTGAAGCAGCCGTGCACGACCCCCGCGAACTGCCACCGCGGGGCACGCTGCTCCACCCACGACTTCACGGTCCTCGGAACCCTACACCATTCCCTCTCCCAGGAAACTCCCAGTAAAGAAGTGGGGCAGAGGAGGGCGGAGGGATGGGGCAACGGAGGAGGAGGTGGCGGTTGTCTCTATCCCTGGCGCCCGCAGATTGCTGCCCCTCCGGTGACAGACGCCCGAGAAGCGGCCGGGAGGCCAGAGTGCAAGAGGAGGTCGGTCGTTGCGTAATGGGGTGGGGCGATGAGAGTGGGGTAAAGTAGGACGGGGCTAGGACGAGGATCAATCCGTTCCAGAGCATCCCGCAACGCTCTCGGAGCGTTCCGGAACGCTCTGAGAATGCCGCCGCGCCCGATACATCCTTCAGAGCCGCCGGATCTTAGAGATTCTAGAATTATCCTCACCAGTTTTTAGCCTCGTCCTGGCGTCGTCTTAGAAATGTGCACAATCCGTACACGTCCTGATGACTAAACGAGCTCCCTCGGGCCCAACAAGTATACGAAAAATGCACGACTCTTCGCCGCCCAAATTTACAACCCCATTGGACTCGGTAGCAAATCATGGGAGGCTAGTGTACCCTCTTAATTTTGCCTTTAGCGAGCGTCGATTAGCGTCTGGGAGTTGGTGAAACAGCGCCGATGTTAGCGTCGGTTAGCGTCGATTAGTATCGACTTAGCGTCGACTAGCGTCGATTTAGCGTCGACATCGGCGGCGGCGTTGGAGAAGGAACGTCTTTCTGGGGCCCAGACCCTGGCGCATTCCTTTTTTTTTGAAGGCGAGGTGGGTGGCCCACGTTTGGCCGCCCATCTGTCGCGAGACCCTGGGTTCCGTCTCGAAGGCATCCTTATTTCAAACCTCCACCGTAGCGTCGATTCACAAGAGCCGACAAGATAATCTTGGAGGCTCTCGTGAGTTGCCACCGAACATTGGATGGATGAGCAATGTCTTCCTGAGGGTCAAGACCCTGGCGCATGCCTTCCTGCTTCAGGGGGATGTTAGTGGCTCAAGACGGGCCGCCCGTCGGTCTCGGGCCCCTGGGCGGCCCAGGGGGCGGAGGAGGCACCGGCCGACCCTCGAGAAACCGAGGTGACGTACAGCTGCCTCATCGGCTTCGCGGCGGAGGTGGGCGAGCTGAAGCGCGCCGTGGAGCGCCCGCCGTCGCCGCGCTCTTGCTGCATGAGCACTGCGAAGGGGTGGGTCCAGGCGGAGGGCCTCCCTCCACCGTGCCTCTCGATCCGCCTCCCTGACCCTCCCCCCTCCCTCCCCCCCCCGTGTCCTCCCGCTGCATTCCCTCTTCCCCCGCGTCCTTCCTTCCCCCCCCCCTTTCTTCAAGCACGCGGGGCCCAAGGCGCGTCGATTTTTTTGTTTGGCTCAAGCGCGCCATGGGTCCTGGCCCGCCGCCTCAGCGCGGCTTCTTTTTGGCTTCTCGCAACTCTGGATGCTAGACATCGTCTATTTGCATGGAGGCGCGGGTCGGCTAAGAGCGGGGCGAAGTGCAGTTTTCTGGCGTTCGCGGATGTCCGATGGATGTTGGGTTCAGATTCCCCGATTCAAGAGACCTTCAGAGTGCGTGTGGTGGTCAAACTTATTATATTTCTGCTCATGTGCAATATCTTTTTGTATTGTGCCCATGGGGTACCCACAGGGTTCATACCGACAGGGTCTTGCGGCACTTTTTGTACCTGCTATACCTTTTCATGTTGCGATCCTCGTTGCAATGGTCAGTTTGAAAGCTATGTTGATCGGCACCGGTACCGCTCTGCATTTTTCAAGGTTGCGGCCATTTGGGAGTGCAGTGCTGCATGTCTTGATCAGTCACGCGTGCATGTTTCCGGCATTTGTTTCAAAGGTGTCGGTGTTTGGTGTACGCGGGAGTCATGTTTTCCCCCGCTTGGAAGGGGGCTCCGTGGCTGGCTGGCATCCATGAGTGCGGGGTACGTGCCTCAGTCGTTGGTGGCTGCACTCGCGCGAATCGGCTGTTTTACCAAAGAGGTCGTAAGGTCGTCCTTGGGGTGCACGCGGGTTTTCCCCTATTCCGGTATGGTCTCCAAGTCGGTCTGCCGCCCAAACTGTGCAGCCTACATGCAGCGCGTGGAGTCTAGCATGGTCGCCGTCCTCTTCCTTCTCCTCGCGTCGCTGGAGATGGTCAGAGAGCGGAGTAGTATGGACATGTAAGATTTGGTCTTCAGGCGTTCCCATTCCCAATCCCTCCGCCCCCTCTTCCTTTCCCCGAACAGCCCCGAAGACGGCGAAACAGAGCCTCGAGCAGCCCAGGGAAGACCCAGCCCCGAAGAAGGCCCAAGACGGATCGCAAACCCAGGCAGCCCCAACGTTGCCCCCCCAAGGCCTCGTTCCAGGAGTCGTCTCGCGGCACGTCTCATGATGTCGGTGGATTTGACTATCATGCACAAGGCGGCAAAGGAGTGCTGAAGGAGCCGTTTCTTGCTGAACTGGCTCCCGATGGCACAACCCGACGATCGGTATTCTACCGCGTGCTAGATGTGTGGACGTCATCAGCGCGCGCGAGGGTGCCAGTATGATTTGTTCCGCGGTGTCCATTCGTTTCCCGCTGCGTGTCTCTATGAGCTCAGCCTCAGGATGATGGTTGTCGCTTGGGGCGCCTTCGCCAAGCCGCAGGTCGCTGCCCGGGTCCCCGCCAGTCTCCTTCAGGCTTCCGCGTGCTCCGAGCCAGGATGGCGAAGGCTTGCCAGGCCTCCGACGCCATCGGCGTGCCAACGGATGGCCAACAGAACTCGAATGCCGGAGCTGTCCCTTATCTGTTGGGGCGATCCGTGGGGGGGCTTCTTTCGCTCGCTGTCGGGGCGGCTCGCCCGCTCCCGGGGCCCACTGAGGTCGCAGAGCCCCCTTTGCAACGCCCGCTCGCGCGCGGACGAAAAGCACAGAAACGATAATACATTACCGGAAGCTCGCACCTTCCAGGGTCTGACGCGGCGTTGTCCCGATGGGTTGGCGAGTTTTGGTGGTCAACCGATGTTCTCCTCTTCCTCCTCCTCCTCCGCCTCCTGCTCCTCCTCTTCCTCCTTCCCCTCCTCCTCCTCCTCCTCCTCCTTCCTCCTGCTCCTTTTCCTTCTCCTCCTCCTCCGCCTCCTCCTCCTTATCGTCTCACTCATCGCTCCCCGTCTTCTTATCCTTTCGTTTACCTCCCTCTCACGCATTATTCCTCTTAGGTTCCTCCTCTCGCTCCTCGCTCTGGTACCTCCTTCATCGCCTCTTTCTCCATCGTTCTCTCCTGGCTTCTCCCCCACCCGTTCTCATTTTCACCCTCGTCCCTCTCCCGCCTCCTCCTCGTCCTCCTCCTTTCTCTTATCTTTTTCATTATCCTTCCCCTTTGTCCCATCCTCCGCATCCTCCGAGTCGAATGGTAGATCTCCCATTGATCCCAGCTCCCTGCATCCCTTGCCTGTCTAACATGTTGTTCCCTTTTCCGCTGCTTCCCTGTGCTCGAAGCATCTATCCCATTAAGTGGGATTGAAGTTGTTGGGCACTCCGCCACCATTCTTGGCTCGATGGCACGCAGTCCAGCCAGACGATCCGCCCGTGCTATTCGCGATTTAGTTTCCCCGCCCTCCGATAAACACAGGTTCCCATACCTTCTCGTTGTTGTCCTCTTTGGCCTCCCGCTTCCCAGACGTGACCCCCCCCTGCGTTTCTCTTTCTCTCTTTCTCTTTCTTGTTTTGGCTCCCCGCCCCTCCTCTTCTCCGAATCCCCCCTTCCTGCATCCTCTCGTCGTTCTCCTCCGAGCCGCCCCCAATTCCAGGAGTTCTTCGACAAGCTCTCCGCCGTCACCACGCCTTCCATTCGCGCTTACATGACCATGCTGCGAGTCTACGCCAAGCGGCAGGACCGGGCGCGGGGAAACGGATGGCCGAGGCCACGGGAAGTCTTTGGAGGAGGCGGAGTTTGGGGATGGCGGGGACGGGGACGACGGGGAGGAAAAGGAGGAAAGTAGTGGGGTCCTCCCTAATCCAGGGAGGTGCAGGTCGCCCGCACGCGGCAGGACCAAGGACTGTGATGGGCGCAAGCAGCGAGACAAAGGACTGCGAAGGCCATATCAAAACATTGCCTCCCCCTCTCATAGCACACCACGGACACGACGAAGATAAGGCCGAACGCCACGACGATGGATTCAGGCACTCCCCGCTGCAAGACAAAATGTGCGTTCACCGTATTGCGCAACCAGCAAGTTCAAGATATGTCACGCCTGTGAAGCCCACGACAACGCCCATGTCTTCCAGGAGGTGGAGGAGCAGGAGGTGGAGTCTTGGTCCTGGGTCGTCAGCTCTCGAGTGGGCCCCCTTTCTGGGACCCAGCCCTGGATCTCTCGTGGACTTTGCCCTGGATCGTTCCCATTTGCATCTGGACGCAGGTAGTAACCTGAGTACTCGGACCTACAATTTTAGGCTGACCAAGCTGATGTGCAGATAGAGAGAGAGAGAGAGAGAGACTGAGAGGGAAAACAACAACGATGGAGGACAGCACTGTCATTGCGCGACCACGCTGGGAATTGATCGCGCATGGGAGATGTAGGCAGACAGATGGCAATCAATTCAAACTTAGTGTGAGCCCAGTAGGGGTGACAACGTGCTACATTGACCCATGACGTCTAGCATGTTCTTTTCTGCCGTTGCCACATTCCGTTCGAACTTCGGTTGAACGGAATTCACCTCAGGGTTGTGGATGTCGCCCGCGCGCAGAAGTGGGCAGGGGGAGGGGTGGAAGGCTTCTGAGAAGCACCCGACACATGCACGGGGCATGGACGTCCCAGCGTCGGCAGGGCGGGGCCGCGCGACAGCGCGAAGTCTATGATCCTGGGTCGAGGGTTCGCAGCCCGGACGAGGATAAATCCGTTCCGGAGCGCTTCGGAGCGCTCCGAGAAGGCCGCGGCGCCCGAGAAATCCTCCAGAGCCGCCAGATCCCAGAGATCTCCCGATGTTGCACGATGTTACCCTCGTCCTGGCTTCGCCCGGATTGGGTACACGATGCTCAGTTCCAGCGTGCCGAGGTTTCAGAGGATTGGAGCATGACTCGGAGTGTCGCGCCCAGCGCCCTGCTCCGCCCCGCTCCGCTCTCGTGCCCCCCGCCCCTTCCCCCCCCCCCTCGGTTGTGCCCTTGCGGCGTGCTTGCCCTCCCGAGGACTGGCGCGCGTCGCTCGCGCTCTTCCGGGAGATGCGGAGGCGCGGCGTCAGGCGACGCGGGCGGGGGAGCGGGCGTGACGAGGAGGAGGAGGAGGAGGAGGAGGAGGAGGAAGGGGGGGGGGTTAGAAGAAGACAAGAAGGATTAGGAGGAGGAGGCGGACGAGGAGAAGGGAGAGGAAGAAGAGGAGGAGAAGGAGGAGAAGGAGGAGGAGGAGGATAGGAGGAGGAGGGAGGAAGGAGGAGGAGGAAGGAGGAGGCGGGAGGAACGAAGGAATGAGAAGAGGGAAGCGGGCGAAGGTGGAGGAGCACGGGGCGCATTGGCTGGAGAGGAGGGGCGCGACACAGCTGAGAGCAGGAGGAGAAGCAGGAGGGGCGGGAGGAGGAGGAAAAAAGGGAGGAGCAGGACGCGAGAAGGAAGGAGGAGGGCGGGGGCGGGGGGGGGGGGCAGGCGGGGCGGGCGCCTGGCTGGCGGGACAAAGGCCGGACGCGCTGGTGGTCAACTTCGTGCTCGCGACGGGCATCGCGGCCGACCAGGCGCGCCCCGACCGCCACAGCTCGCCCTCCCTTGCCCCGGGTTCCTCTCCTCCTCCTCCTCCTCCTCCTCCTCCTCCTCCTCCTCCTCCTCCTCCTCCTCTCCTCCTCCTCCTCCTCCTCCTCCTCCTCCTCCTCCTCTTCCTCCTCCTCCTCCTCGTCCTCCTCCTGCTCCTTCTCCCCCGGTTGCTGCTCCTCCTCCGTCTCCTTCCCTCCCCCCCGCCTGCTCCTGCTCCTGCTGCTGCTCCTCCTCCTGAGCCCCCCGCCCTTCTCACCGTGCCTCCTCCTTCCACACCTCCATGCCCCCCCCATCACAATTTCATGTTCCTGTCTCCCCTGACCGTGGCCAGAAGATCTTCCGCCCTCTCCGCGTCCTGATTTCTTCTTGCGCGCAGGTTGTTCCCGCTTGTTTTGTTCACCATACTACAGTCAACCCACATAGTAAGGATGGGCAACCTTCCCATGGGTACCCTTGCATCCTTGTCTCCACGGTCCATCCTTGGCCACTTTCGTTGGCCACGCCCCGCTCGAAACGCTTCGATGTGGCCTTCCAAGGCCCTTGCATCCTTATCGTGCGTCCTTACTGTACAGGTTGAATGTATCGCTCTTGTTTTTTTCGAACACGAGGTGTTCCCGCCACAGCTTCGACCACATTTTACAAGCGTGGGCCACTTTTCTGGAAACGAGCCCGTCCTCATCGTTGCCGCCCCCTTCAGTTCCTCCCTGCTCCTCCTGCTCCTGGTTCCGTCCACTCTGGTTCCCGCTGCTGCTGTTGCTCCTCCTCTTTCTTCATCTTCCCCCGACAGCTCCTCTGCCTTCCCACGGTCCTCCTGCTTCTCCCGCTCTTTCCACTCCAGTTCCTGCCGTTGCTGTTCGTCCTCGTCCTCCTCCTCTCTCGTCTTTACCTCTGTTCCTCCTGATCATCCTCCTGCTCACATGCCCCTCGTACGCGCGCAGCTCCTTGTTTTCGATTGCGTAGAACGCGATGCGGTCATTTTGCAGTTTCAGGTCGACTATAACACGCGTCCTTGTCCGCGGACAGAGAAAATCAGCGCAATGGGATGGCAAGCGCACGTTGAGAAGTGAATCTAATTATTCATCGCACACGCTGCCGGAGGAGGAGGGGGAGGAGAAGGGGCAGGAGAGTATGCAGGTCACGGATCGGGGAGGACCAGAGTTGCAAGTTTTCTACGCAGTAGTTCGCGCCTCAGAGAATTACAATTACAAGCTCGCGGATACTGCGTTGATGTGTTCACAGAAGGCGTTGAAGCGCCTGAAACTTATGATCGAGACGAGCGGGGTAGAGGAGGTGAGCATGTGGGTGAAGTCGTGTTCGGTGATTTCCATTTGCAGCAACGGCGCAAAGAAAAAAAGTCAGGCGTGAACGGACCTATTCCCATGTGTCACAAAGTCGAGGACGAGGATCGGTCTTTTGCGGAACAGCAGGCAGCACATATTCAAGGGAAATGGGACATTGTTCAGCTCAACCCAATGGAGATCCCAGCGTCGATCTTGAACGTCGGCTAACTAGTGCAGGTCAATGTCCTTATGGCTAGAACTTCGAGGCGCTGGAGGACAGCAGCAGATGGGCGGGGCTCCGAGGGGCAACATGGCCAGGCATATCAAGGACACGGGACAGGGAAAGGGCGAGGGCGAGGGCAAAGCAGACAGCTGCGCGGTAGGGGCACGGGTAAAGCCGAGGTAGAGCGGTGAATGGGCAGACACCTTATCGTGGCAAGGGGCGCGGGAAAGGCACAGTTTTTCACGCCGTGCCTCCGTAGAGGGGCTTGACAGCCCGAGCAGCGGGGACTGGCGCCCACGCGGCCGCCCGCAGAAGGAACGGGCATCGTCGCCAGATCTGTGTAATTCTGTGTGTTGTATGAGTGCCATTTCTGTATGTGCCCTTCCTGCCTCCGTCTCCCCTTGTAATTTGCGTATTTGCAGTTGTAGCAGCACGAGAGCCGGCATGCAGCATAGTGACTGTATGTGCAGGCTTCCCAGACTCCACAATAACAGGAGTCAGTAGTATAGGACTTGAATGGGTTGGGAGAGGAGGAGGAGGAGGAGGAGGAGGAGGAGGAGGAGGAGGAGGAGGAGGAGGAGGAGGAGGAGGAGGAGGAGGTGGACGAGGACAGGTGGCCATCTTTTCAAAATGGGGGGGGGCTCCCCCCTTCCGCGCCACCTTTGAAAGAAACCCTAGCAGATGCCACACGACAGATTGAGCAGCGATGGGGTTTGGGCGGCCCGATGCGGCGTAGCGTTGCTGCAGCCGCCACCTGGCCTGGTGCCTCACGTGCATGTGGCGACCGCGGCGCACCCCGGTGCCGCAGGCGGATGCCGCCGCACCCTCAGGAGGAGGCGCCTCAGGAAGTTCGCGTGGGAGAAGCTCCGGAACCGGGGGCCCGATGAAGTACCTGTTGAAGCCGCTGCTGCTCTGCCGGCTGATGGCGATGTGGAGGTTTGCGTTGGTGCCCCGGTCACTCCTAGCCCTGCAGAGAAAGAGGCAGTTCACACACCGCCAAAGACAACGAGGGGGGACGGCTTCAGCGAGAAGGAGGACGAGCCAGCCTTTGCAGAGCATACATTCATCTCTCCCGAGGATGTCACCAACAAGCTGCAAGGGATCATGGCCGACTGGGTGTTCGACCGAGTTCAAGAGCGACTAGAGACCGCATCGATGGTCGAGTTGGTGGACCTTGAAGACGCGATCTGCCAACTGCTGGACGAGGTGCTGGAGGGGTGGGAGGGAGTGGACATCCTAAGGCGGAGTGGCACAGAGATCCATGCGGGCGCGAAGATGCCCAAGCAGAAGTTGGGCAAGGTCTAGCAGTAGCTGCGCCGCGGCCCGCGCGGGCCGCCAGCGGGCGAGGGGCTGGCGTTCTGGGAAGGGATCGGCTTTGTGTCCTCCCCCGCTCGGGGGGGATTGGCTTGGTGGAGTGGGGTGCCTCGCTCTCCCTGGCCCATCCTCCCCTGGCCGCCTTCTGGCGGCGTTCCGCCCTCGTGTGGTCTTCGGCCCTTGCTGGGCCAACCACGAGGCTGAACCCTTTTCGGAAAGCCAAGCTCTAGTAGAGTAGAGTTGCCCAGCGTCGTCGTGTGTTCGGATCGGATTTGGCGCGAATGGGATCGTAGTAGTAGTAGGTGGACGAGGACGAGGACGAGGACGAGGACGAGGACGAGGACGAGGAGGAGGACGAGGAGGAGGAGGAGCAGCAGCAGCAGCAGCAGCAAGCGAGCACCAGGCGGTTTCAGAAGCAGGGGGGAAGGAATCATCAGCAGAGTCGGGGGCAGCAGGAGGCAGGGCAAGAAGGCAACTTCATCGGGGTTCCACGACTCGAATCCGGAAAGTATGTCAGAGCCTCGATCCGATAGATCCGCTCGAGCACGTCCCTCCGTCGGTAGGGGGCGACGTCAGGGGGGATAGGCTAGGAGGGCGCATCGACTCTCAATCCTCCATTGATCGCCGATAAGGGGCCCGATAGCCCACCCCGCCCAGGAACGCTCGGATTCGCTATCGGAGGCCTTTTCGGCGATCTATGAGCGACGTATCGCCGATTCCAGGTCGACGTTTCCCCCTGAGCTGGTCCCCCCCGCTGGCGCTGCCGCTCAGTCAGCGCCCGCCGAAGCGCCGCGAGGTGGAGGCCGTCTGGGCGCTGTTGGAGGACACCGCGCGGGCTCGCCGCGGGTCAGTGTCGTTGAGCCGACCCCCGATCCCCACCCCCATCCGGATCCACACCGCTCCACCACCCCAGTTGGGGATATACCCCTCGAAACAGGAAGGAAGCAGCCTACGCTCCCATCTGGGAGGGTAATTTGGCTAGTGGGGCCCAGGCGCCGCTCGTGGGGGGAAATATTCATCGGGGCACCAGGGGCGAGGAAGGAGCCGGCGGGGCGGTGGAGGTGGGGGGTATTCATCCAGAGCAAGAGAGGCGGAGGACAAGGAGGCTGCGATATCGTGATCAGGGCCCGTGCAACGTACAGGATGAGGTGAGTGTGGAGGAGGAGGAGGAGGAGGTGGAGGAGGAGGAAGAGTAGGAGGAGGAAGAATATGAGGAGGAGGAGGAGGAGGAGGAGGGAGGAGGATGAGGAGGAGGAGGAGGAGGAGGAGGAGGAGGAGGGGGGAGTCGACGGGACGGTGGAGGTGGCTGGTCGTGGGGGGGGACGCCGGGTGGTGGCAGCTGGCGCCTTCAGGTATTGAGGCCAGAGTAGTGAAGGTCCGTTAGCATCCCTCCCTTACGACCGTCTCCGATGGCCGAAGGACCCTATGGATGGCCTCGGCCCCCTCCTGTGCCTATTGGCGGCATGGTGAATTGTTGTGCTGGTGGGAGGCGGACCCCAGCAGCCCTTGCAATGGCAGTTGCCGAGGGGTGGAGCCAATGATGGTCACCACGGGAAGGGCAGAGGGCTGATGCCTACGATGGTCCTCGCTGGAGGAGGGGTGGAAGGAGAAGCCGATGTCCAGGAATATTTGGCCATCATGGCGTCGAGGCGAGGGGGGATCGGGGGGGCACTCGTTCAGAGGGGGAAGTCCGAGGCACAACAAACGTCATAAGCATGATTTTTCAGAGCTCCGCGGGGATCTCTTGGATCGGCGCGGGGCCCCCCTGGCGGCGCATCCGGCGCCGCCCCGTGGGCGCTCCGCGTGCCAGGGAGGGGGGTCAATTTGTCATGGTAGGTGGAGGAGGCGGTGTGGAGGAAGGGGGGTTGTAGGGAAAAGATGGGGCGGGAAACGAGAGGCGGGGATTGGGGGAAGAGAGGTACCGAGATGAGGTACGATTCGAAGGAGGACGGGCAGGAAGAGGAGGAGGAGGAGGAGCAGGAGGAGGAGGAGGAGGAGGCGGAAGAGGAGGAGGAGGGAGAGGAGGATGAGGGAGAGGAGGAGGAGGAGGAGGAGGAGGAGGAGGAGGAAGTGGAGGGGGAGGAGGAGGCTGAGAAGGAAGGGGGAGAGGGGAGGAAGAGCATGGTAAGCAGGAGCGGGGCTAGCAGGAGTATGAGGAGGAGGAGGAGGAGGAGGATGAGGAGGAGGAGGAGGAGGAGGAGGAGGAGGAGGAGGAGCAGGAGGCGGGAGACATGGAGGAGGGGGAAGAGGGGTACGAGGACGAGATGGAGGAGGAGTAGGACAGATAATGGCGAATCATCGGCAACAGGGCAGCCTGGGGAGGGGGGGAGGCGAAGGGGCGGGGTGATCGGGAGGAAGAGCGGCACCGACGGGGAATGGTGCCCGCCACCGCAGAGGAGGCGACGAGGGCCCGACCTCCATAGCCAGTTCGTCCCCCTGGCCAGTAGCGCGGCAGCACATGGCAGCACCTTCCCAGAAACGTTGCGATACCCTCAGCTCCTCATCGGCCCCGCCGTCCGTTTCGCGTCCGCCTCCTTCTGGCTCCCGTCCCGCTCTCCCCTTCCCTTCCCCTGCGCCCCCCTCCCTCGACGTACCCGTCCGTCGACATTCCCTCCCCCCTCCGCCCCCCCTCCCTCGACGCACCCGTCCGTCGACGTCCCCCTCCCCCTCCGCTCCCCTCCCTCGACGCACCCCTGCCCCCGCGGCCACGGCGCCCGGCCGCGGCCGCCTCCCGGGACCCTGGCCAGGAGGTCGATGCCGAGTCCCCGCCGCTCTCGGACGTCGTGTCCTACAACACCGTCATCAAGGGCTGCGCCCAGCGGGGCGACGGCCCCCGCCGAGCCCTCTGGCCGTCCTCGCGCGGCGGCTGCTCCGATCGCGGGATGGGGGGCCGAGAGGTTGTAGTCAGGAGGGAAGAAAACACACGGACACAATTCAATTCAACGTCGATTCCCCAAAAGTCTGGGAAAATATGGGAAGTTGGGGGGAAGACAAAAACCCAGAAAATGTAGGAAAAGACGGGGAATCTGTTTATTTGTGTGTATTTGTTTGTGTGTCCTGGGGCCCCTTCATGTAGGCTCGCCCTGCGGAGGGCACGGGGCGCGCGGGCCCCTCCCCTGGCCGCCGCGGAGGGGCTCGGCCCGCGGAGGCCCGCGGCAGGCAAGAGGCCCTCGGCAGGCGGGGAGGGGGTGGGCGGGCGCCGGGCTCGGGGGCGCCGGCGCCCCCGCCGTCCCGGCACGGGGCCCCTCCCACTCGCTCTGCTGCCGCTGCTCCCCGCTCAGCCAGCTCCTCCCCGCTCAGCCGGCGCCCTCCGCGCCGCAGGGAGGAGGTCCCAGCGCCCATCCAGGAGTCCGCGCGGACCTCCGCAAGCTCATGCTCGCGCAGATGCTGTTTTTTTCGGCATGAGAGCAAGGGGTGACGGGGGGTGGTCGGGCCGGACGAAAGGGGGGATATATGGAAAGGTGGGGGGGTTCGAAATCTGCGGCATGCAGCTGGTCTCGGCCCCGCCGCCAGGGCCCATTCCTCGACACATAGGCGTCTCCCGGCGCCGGGAGGCGCCGGGAAACTCAGCTGCGTGATCTGAATCTCAAACCCCCCTTTTGCTATCGCCTCCTTTCGCCCGGCCCAATCCTCCCCTGGTCCGTAGCCACGTTGGCTCAAGGCTTGGCGGTTCTCATTCAGTGACGAACGAACAACACACACCCATACCCATAGGGGGGGGACGTTGAGAGGAGGACCGGCTTTGGGTATGGGTGCGGATTGTCGGATCCTGGGGGGCGCCTCCTTTCGAGCGGGGGCCCCCATCCGACAACACGCACCCATGGACCGCTCCGTCCCACCTATGGCTTGGTATCGCTCGGACGTGTGCATTTTTCCTTCGTCGGGGACCATCGAGGAGCATCCTTTATCATTTGGCGAAAAACCACGCACGAAACCGAAAAAAACACAGGGAATGGGCGTCCGAGCGATGGCCAGATGGGTGCGTGTCGTTCGTTCGTCATGGAACACCCTGGAAGCCGCCGGTCCGCGTCTCGACTTCTATCTCTCGCGGGTCCGTGCGCCCCGATCCCTCACCGTCGGCAGTCCGCCCTGCCCACGGACTCGGGCTGAGCCGTGCAGCCGCGCGCTGCCTCGCCGAGCAGTCCATCCAGCGTGCCC